CCGCTATGAAGTCTGCCACAACCTGCCCTTTCATGGCAGTTCTTGGCTTATAGTGAATGTCGTACTCGCTGAGCTCTACAGCCCACTTTACCAGTCGTCCAGAAGTGTCTGGCTTTTGTAAGATCTATCGTAAGGGAAAGTTGGTGAGGACCATTATTTTGTGAGCTTGGAAATACGGGCGTAGTCTCCGAGCTGAAGTGACCAGTGCCAATGCCAACTTCTCCATTGGTGGGTATCTAAGTTCTGCATCTACCGTTGCTTTGCTTGTGTAGTAAATTGGGGATTGTGGTCCATCTTCTTCCTTTATTAACGCGGAACTCACAGCAGTGCTGGATACAACTAAGTATAAGTAGAGCTCATCACCCACGATCGGCTTTGCGAGGAGTGGAGCTGCCCGTAGGTACTGTTTCAGCTCCTTAAAGGCAGCCTCGCACTCTTCCGTCCATTCAAATTGTCCTTTCTTCCTTAAGATTTTGAAGAATGGTAGGCACTTGTCAGTGGAACGGCTAACGAATCTGTTGAGTGCTGCTATCCTTCCATTGAGTCCCTGCAGCTGCTTTAGAGTTTTAGGTGGATCCATCTCCAGAATAGCTGTGAACTTATCTGGATTGGCTTCGATTCCCCTTTGGTGCACTAAAAATCCCAGGAACTTGCCTGAGGTCACTCCAAACGTTCATTTGGTGGGATTCAACTTCATCTTGTACTTTCGCAAGATGTCGAACGCTTCTGCCAAATCCTCCTCGTGTCGCTCGTTCTTTCTACTCTTTACCAGCATGTCGTCTACGTAGACTTCCATATTTTTACCGATTAAGGCTGCAAACATCCGATTCACCATTCGTTGGTAGGTTGCACCTGCATTCTTTAGTCCAAACGGCATCACGGTGTAGCAATACAAGCCTCGACTCGTGACAAAAGAAGTTTTCTCCCGATCCGGTACATGCATCTTGATTTGATTATATCCAGAGTAGGCATCCATGAAACTCAATCTTTCATGTCCTGCAGTGGCATCAACCAGTTGATCTATTCGAGGCAAAGGAAAAGAATCCTTTGGACARRCCTTATTTAGATCCGTRAAGTCGATGCACATTCTCCATTTGCCGTTTGGCTTCTTTACCAGCACCACGTTGGATATCCACTGGGGATAATGTACTTCCCGAATGAAGCCTGTTTTCAGTAGCTCATCCACTTGTTCAGCTACAATC